ACCACTTAATCCTAAATGAAGCTTCAGTTCCCTCGATTCATACTGTAGGTTGATTTTGGCTTACATCATGTTCATTTTACACTTCTTCAGATCATGAAAAGATTCAAGTTAGGAAAAGCTGACACTAACTTGGTAGGAGCTAAGCTAAATAGTTATATATAGAAGCTGAAAGGGGCTCTAAAGAGTCTCTGGTTCTGTCAAGAATTGAATGGAGGAGTATCCCAGACTCTTGTGATTCATCCTGCATTGTGAAGTAATGTAGTTAAACCTTTGGATGTTACTAAATGGTGCAGATATTTGTCACTCATTTATAAAGAAGAAAGCTTATCCTATTTAAGGTTGACCCATAAGCTTTTCCATTCCTTGATAAGAAAAGTTGGGAATAAAACCAGTTTGTTAATGGTCCCTTGGTTATCTACTGGGCAAAACAGGACTGGAAGTTAGGAACTCCAAGTTCTATTTCTGTGTGTGCTACCACTGACTTGGTTGGCTTGGCTAGAGGCCAAATCCTGAAGACTAGGCCAGAATATTTTGTTGCTGGGTCTATTGTTCATCTAATGTTCAACCAGACCTTCAACTTCCTCCTCAGCATTCCCCTTTCAGGTGAATTGCTTTGTGGTTTATGACAAATTCTATTGTACAAACCCTATATGCCTCAGTTTCCTAATTTGAAAATGGTATCAATGCTGTCTCCCTCATCAATTCCTTGAGGAGTAACTATTCTTCAGTAGCTGTCTAAACATTTAGTCGTTACAACTTTATTATTTGGGAACTTTAGAACTTCTGCTTCAAAGGTTATTTGGGACAGTTGGGAGGCCTGCTTTACTGAAGTATGCCCGTGGCAGCACAAAAGGTGCCCATCCAAATAGGCTGAACAAGGGTCAGTCTCTCAGGGTACCAAGCAGTTGTTACTGGGGAGTCCTGGACGTTTTACAATTGCCTAATGGCCAACTCCTGGAGACTAGTGGCTATGTATAAGCAGGATTCATTGATTCTTTGCGGTAGGCCTCTTCAGGATGAAGATGCTTCTAAACTTATTTGATTTCCATAGTTAACCAATTTTTTACTCTGTTTAGCTCTCACCATGCTCCTCTGTCTTTTGTCTGAGTTGTTCAAAAGCTTGCTGTTTTATTAAGTACACTTTTAGTAATAACTAGAGAGGAAGGTAGAACTAACCTCTTAGACATTCCCGTCCATCCTCCAGTTTGGTCTTCTGCCTTTGCCCTAAATTTGTGCTGCAGTCATCCAGGTATGCAGAATTACATGTTTAGAGCAGGCTGCAGAACTTCAAATTAACCTTCTCTGCTGACTCTCTGGAGGTTAGGACAAGTTCTGCTGAGTAGCTTACAAGAGCAGTGATGCTATCATTTTCTCAAATTCTTGTGCATGGAGCACTCTAAAGCTCCCACATGTCCTTCAGGAATATCCTTTTTGTTCACAACACACCCAAGGCTTTTTAACACTTTACACACCGTCAGTGAATCTGTCAAATAGAATAGGGAAAAATGTAAGCCAATGTAATTGTTCTTGGTGCTGTATTGAAAGATCACACTATTTCAAAAGACTTACCAACAGTTTCCTGTAGCAGCTCAACCATTTGAAAGAATTTTGATGGTGTGCAAAGGTTTATTAGTAAACTACTAGGAGTATTACTGCTGTTGAGCATGTTGTTACATCAATTGTCATAGTTGAACTGCCCCTAAGTAAAACCCAAGAAAAAGTTTATTCAGGAGGATTTGTGAGAGCTACATTATTGATCTGTCTAAACCCAGCCATTGTTTTTTCAACAAGAAATGGAATGAGGTTGTAAACTTTCCAATATTCAAAGACAAAAATTGGCCAAAGATTGAATCGTTGCCTCCTAGAGACCATATATTTCGTTCCACTTGCAAAGTACGACTGTTAATCTTTGGTCAGCAAATCTCACAGTATTAAGGGCCTGCTTTTGACATCTTTCTTTTAAAAACTACTTTTCATTCTAGTATCAACCATTTACATTTTACATGAGAAAGAATAGTAAAGTGGAATTTTATTCCAATGATCTTGTCAAATGTGAAAAATAATTTAAAAAAAAAGAACCAAAACCCACACACTCGAGTGTACTCGGGTACAAGTACTATCTACTCTAGCCAACTTTTCCTCCATAGTGTTGTGAATATCTGTTGCCAGCTGTTCTAGGTGTAAGTGCCAGGGGGACACCTGTAGTGTATTACCTAATGTTTGAATGTAGCCAGCCCTTGATTTTTCTGAAGGTAAACTATTCAGCTGTGGATTTTTAAAAAAATTATTTCTTGGATTCACTCTGGTTTCTCTAACTTTTGAAATCATTAGGGTAAAATATATCTTTACATTTCCCCAAGCAAAGGATTTTTATAATTGTATAAAATTTATATTTTTATAGATCCTGGATGAAGTGAAAATTAAAATACTGATGAAGTTGGCAACTGCTGTATGCATGTGTAGTACATTTTCATACTATCTAATTTAATCCTTTATAGCAGTTATGTAAAGTAGGCATGGCCCCATTTTGCTGATGAAGAATGAGGCTGAGTTTGAGAGGTGTGCCCAGGGTTGCACTGCTATTATATATATGTTAGAGGTATGACTGGGACCCTGGTTTTTTGACTCCTTGTCTAGTCTAATTTTTATCATGTTTCCTCTCTTTAGAGGTACTTAGTCTATTTTTCAGAACTAAACGAGTCTGGAACTACCTGGCTTTATCTCTCCAAACTGAAATCTAAAGGGCCCCCGTCTCCTGAGGCCTTTTTATCTTACAGGCTAGCCCAAGAAAGTTTTCCTTAACCTAAAGGGAGGATTAAGCTGTCCAGCCAGCTATCTCAAAAGTCTGGGAAGCTCTTTGCCCTGGCTGGATACCCAGGCCCCAGTATTAGAAAGGGAACAAACTGAAAAGAAATTGCCAACATGTAAGTGTGGTCTGTTGTGCAGCTCATTTGAAATGTTTGGCAGAGAGGACTTTAGTGAAAGGCTAGAGTGGACTTGAGGATCATTTGTCATCACAATCCCGTTAATATAGGTAATTCAGTCTTCTCTCTGCCCTGAGTGCAATATGCTAGTCAAGTATTTCAATGTAGAAAGTGTTGATAGAAACTGAAATTTCACACAAACCTTATCATTCTGAGAACATAAATGCAATAAACATAGTAAAATGCTAGTGCCTTTGAAAGCAAAGTTCAGAAAGTTGCATATCTCCAGGTAAATCAAAGTAATTTATGAGAATTACTTAAAACTAAATATTTGTATTTTTTTAAGACTGAAGTTCTCCTAAGAGTAAAACATACACTATTTTTTTCTGATGATAAATGCACTTATAAAGCCTTTCCAAGACCAATAGTAGGAAAACAAGATCATTATACATAAACACATCTTATTAAGAGGTTCTAAAATCAGAGGTGATCACTGCAGCATCCTAGTGCAGTCAGAAGTTTTGCTGCACTGGAAAGCCAGAGGGCAGTGTTGCTGCCTGTCCACCAAGCAGCCAGGTTTCTGGGACTGCTGCATGACATCATAGCAGAAGGAAAATTAAAAACACGAAAACTATTTCAAAATAGACATTTAATTTTAGGCATAAGAAAAAACTGATCATACACTGTCTCCAGTGAACCATCTGCCAGAATAAGTCCACCTCAGTCTAGCTTTGAAGGCCCTGAGTCAGTCTTGATGGGCATCATTTCCCTTGATTCATTGATTTGTGTGTTTCTTATGCTTCATAAGGTGCATTTCATTCTTGAAGTTCTATCACCTTTACTATCTCATTTAGCTGCAAAAGCAAACTTCCCAGTGGGAGGTTTTATTTTCCTTTCTCTACGGGTTTTTTTTTTTAACCTTCAAGAAGTTTCACAATCTCATGATTTTCTTGAATGCTTTCCCCCAGAAAAATGTACACATCATACAAGTAAACATAATTTCATGGGGTTTGTGGACCGCAAGGCCCCCTTTGGTTTCTAAGGCCCCAAGTTTAACCCCTGTGCCAGTGATTTGAGCAATGCAGTTGCCCTAAGGAAACACTGACGCAGGGCAGGTGAAGGTGGGCTGGGTTAACCATGGTGACAGGAGGGAACAGTCTTGTTATTTCTTTTGATTTGGGGGCAGAAAGTAATTCCCAGGGCCTCCCTGCATAACTACTCAAGAACTGTTTATATCGGGGCAGTTTAGGGAAATAGAATAGTGGATGTACAGGGAATGTGCAGCATTTCCACTCAGCCCCAAAAGAATTAAGTTAGCTCCTTAACCAGAAGCTTTATATTTGATTTGCAGTAAGGGGGCATTTCTAGTTTTAGTTTGACCCTCATGGAAAGGTGGACAGCTCCTATTCCTTTTTTTGGTATAGGGAGCCCCTAAGTATTGGACAATTAGGGTAAGTCCTTGGAATGCCCCAAATCGCTGTTTGCTACATAAATCTGATATTCCCTACCTCTAAATATTTCAAAGTAGTGCCCCACAGATTTTATTCAACCATTGCTTGTGTTAAGCAAGAGGTTGACCAAGAGCCTCTTCTAGGCATCCAGGAACGTCCAGCCTCATGGGTGGGGGTGGGGGGTGGGGGAAGATTTCTGAAAACCTTGTAGGAATGAAATGAGGCCGTCAGTTGTCTAACAAACTGCCAAATTAGGTTTACATTTTTGTTAATAGACTTCTGAATGGCTATTGAGAATTAAATTTTAAACTTCTGATTTTAGCCACTTTCTACTCTCCAAACACCCAACACTGGTTTATTTCTCCAGCATGAAGAAAGAAAACCAAGGCACTAGAAAGCAAGCACACTTAAGTTGGAAGCTATTTAAGTCTTTATATTTCGCCTGAACTGTATCTTGTAGCATACCAAAACCCATTCAAGGGAAAAATCAGCAAACTGAAAATTCTCCCATTAAAGATTTTTTCAAACTGACAAATTTAATGATTTCTTTACCCCCAAGAAATGCAATCGCATAAAATAAATCAGGACTATATTTGAATTAGCTCTAGAAATCACACTGAAACTGTTACATTTACAAATATTAAATTTATTATATCTAGAATGAATTTAATGGTTCTTAGATTTGGCCACCTTATAGCTCCGTTTAAGGAAAGGATTTTTAACAGAAAAATGCATTATAACTTGGTCAAATTACTTGCACGTAAAAAAAAAACTTCTAAAAAGAAAAACAAGAAAAGCAACACTCAAGTTTCACATAATTAAAGAACGGAAAAAGCACACAAGCTACATCATAGTTAAATTTACCAAACCAAAGCCGGGGGGATTTTTTTTCTTCTGATTATGTGTCATAAAAAGGTCCACTGTCTTATATACACATGTATATAATGTTACATTCCATCACTGTAAAAAGTCCCCTTTGCCCCCTCCCCCTCCCCCCCCAAAGTTTCAGTCTAGTCTCCAAACTTGGACAGCGGCGGTCGCTCCTGCTGCCGGTGCAGTTCGTTCTCCGTCAGCAGCTGGAGGTTCTCGGCGCGCAGCCGATCCAGCTCCAGCTCCAGCTCCCGCACACGCGCGTCGTCGCCGCCCAGCCGCTTGCTTTCCAGCCGTAGTCGGTTATTCTCGTCCTCCATGCGTGAGAGGCACTTCTCCAGCTCCAGGTACTCCTTGATGAGCTCCTGCTTGCTCATGTTCTGCAGGCTCTCCGCGTGGTACCGCTCGTAAGTCTCCGAGAAGTCCCGCTGCAGAAACTCGCTGCCGTCTCCTCCCATCCCATCACTGCCCCCATCCTCCTCGCCCGCTTCTTCCATAAAGTCCTCATCGCTGGTGTCGGATTTGGCGGCGGCCCGCTTGGGATAGAGGCCGGTTTTGAGATCCGGCTCCTCTTGGTCGTGATCATCCATGAGGAACTGCGTGGTGTTATAGGGAGCAACCGGCTGGCCCTTGGCGAACATCTCGGCTCGAATCCTCGAGGCTCGCAGGCTCTGTTTCTCGTCGAACTTTTTCTTCTCCTCCCAGGTCAGCTTGTAGTACGGTTTCCAATGCCGCTTCTTCTTAGAGGGGCGTCTCCTATGTTTTTTCTTGCCCAGTTGTCTCTGCTGCTGTCTACACGACTCCTCGCCCCCTGCAGCAGGAGCCCCCAACTTATTGGCCTCGGAGTCATGACATGGCTGGGCGAGCAGTTCAGCCTCGGGCCTCGGTTCCCCTCCCGCCGCCGGCGGGGGTGCGCCGCCAGCGGACAAGTCGTCCCCATTCTGGCCCTTCTCGTCAGCTTCTGGGCAGCTAGGTTCTAGACAGACTTGGGTCTGCAGAGGCTGCGCCTTGGGCTCCACGCTCCCTTCCCCCTCCTGCCCTGGACGGCCACCCGACTGGGGGTACGCTCTCGATTGCCACCTACTGTCCTCCTCCGGCACCCGCTCCTCCGCGCCTGGGGGTCGATCGGGGTTCCGCTCTTCATGGACAGCAGCAGCACCTGTACAGTTGCTAGTTTGAGGCTGGTGCTGATAATCCGACAAGAGTGGCTCGGCCATGGCTAACAGAGTCCTCGAAGTTTGAAAAATGTTGGCTGTAAGTCCTTAAAGGGAAAAAAAAAGGTTTTTTTCTTTTAAAAAATGTCCAAGAGTCCACTTCGGTAATTCCTGCAGTGAAGCCTTTAGCCAATCCTTCTGTCAACCAACTCCAGTTGCAACTTGGGAGAGCTCGTCAGTAAAGGGTTAAGCGCCCACAGCGCGGCTAGCTAGCGGGTCCAAGGGGGCGCAGCAGCACGAACAGTACGTAATGTGAAGGGGGTGGGCCTCAAGCCTCCCAGCAGAGCGCCCCCACGATCAAGGAGTAGGTGGGCAAGGAGATGAGGTTAAGTCCAACGGGTTAAACCCAGCCCCGAAGGGGTTAAAACTACCCGATGACGCTACCTCCGAGGGGCCGGATCCACAAAGGGTTAAATCCCCTGCCGCAGAGCCCACAAGGGGTTAAGGTCCCAGAGCCACCTCCTCCCACTTCCACGGGTGTCGCTCCAATGCGAGCTCCCAGTTCCCTAGGCCCGGCCGGAGCCTCATCCGAGGACAGACAAACTCATCTCCCCTTTGGCTCGATGCTCAGCTCAGCTCAGCTCAGCTCTCCTCCGCCTCCTCCTCTTTTCCTCCCCTCCCCTCCCCTCCCTCCCTCCTCCCCCTTCCGACAGCTCCTCTTCCGCCTCCTCCCCCAACTTCCCCTCCCAACCTGCCTCTCCACCTGCCAACTTCCAACTGCTGCCTCCTAGCCCTCAGCTCCGCTTTTATATAGAAGCCTGGTCGCCCCGCCTATGCGCGTGCGTAATGGAGTCCCCATTGCAGGAAGCTGGGAATCGTAGTTCCCATGTTTCGGGCCCGCCATCCTCACGCGCCGTGAGACGTAGCCAATCCCAAAACGCGTAGGGGGCGTCTTCCAAGGCACCTCCCTCTATCGCTTATCCCTTGCTGGAGAAACGTGAGCGACCATTGGTCAAGAGTCACACGTCTCGCCGAGGAAGGAAGGCCAATCGCAAAGAAGATGGGGCGGGATCTGGACCATACCATTCTGCTTCAGGAATACGAGAAGATTCGATGGTCTATGAGGGCCCACGCAGAATATTCTTATGAAAAGGTGCGTCTTAAAGCCTGTTATTGTACTCTGTCCTCAGCGGAAGGATTTTGAAGGTCATAAACATTTGTTAACTGAAGCAAAAAATGGTTTATTCCTAAAAAGTAGTCCCTAAAGCGTAAAAGAGGATTGAATCTTTAAAGAGAGATGTTGTCTCACGGTTGTTACCTCTCGATTTTTAAGATTACAGAAATGGTTTCAAGATGTGTGGTAAGTGCCTGGGACTGACATTTGCGGATGGATATTATGAACACATTTTGTAAAAAAACGAAAAGCGCATGAAGAAGTAAACAAATGAAGAATAAAAAGTGCCGCCTTAAAGCGACAGTGACACTGCCTTAGCGCAGCACAACTGCGGACTAGGCCTCGAGATGAGAAGGCAGGTTCGAGTCCCGCGTGACGACTGACGTCCATCCTTGGACTGGCCTCGGGGCCCATGGGCGAAATTGGCTGAGCCCCAGCCCCAGTCTAGCCTTTTACGGCCGCCTCTGCCCCCAAAGACTCGTGCAAAATGGTGGGCCATGACCGAGCCTCTTGCCAGGACCGGGACCCGGGAAGCTAGGGGTGTGCGCCCGGGCCTCCCTGGGGTGGCGGGAAGGCCTCGCCCCCGGGCCTCAGCTTCTATCAAAGAAAATGGTCTCTTGGGGCTGAAGTAGACTCTTTACTTCTGAGCCGGTCTGGTGCATTCCCCCAGACCGATGGGAGTCCTGACCAGCTGATGAGCCTCTTTGTTGGGGAGGGCTTCGAAATTAATAATGAATTTAACTAATCAACCCTGGCTAACCGAGAGAGAAAGGGATATCACCCACAGAGGCTCTTCCTCATCAGTGGGCGCTGGGCAACACTGGGAGGGAAGCAGAGCAAGAGGCTTCCACAAGGAAGAGGCCTTGCCCAGAAAGGGGGTCAGGAGGATTCTGGCCTAGGACTGGGGGGTAGATTCATGGGGGAATGAGGGGCGGGGGGGATGGAAACGTGTTCTTGAGAAAATTCTCCAGATTCCAAACTCCTGGCCCTGGGCCTCAGAGTAGCCCAAAGTCTCCACCCTCGTCAATTATGCCTACAATCCCATGTAATCTCGACTTCTCTCTCTTGCCACACACCCAACGACCCATTAATAGCAATGGTTGACATTCCAACCGCTTTCCACCGTATAACGTGCTTACACACACAACCATCTGAGCCCACCACAGCCTCATGAGTTAGGATAGGAATTGTCTCCATTTTAGAGATAAGAAATCTCTAAGGCTCAGAGAAGTTAAGTGACTTGTCTAGGGTCATATGACAACTAAGTGGCAATTCTAGTTAGTGTGAAACTCCCGTGCCATTTTTCTGTCACAAATACAAATTTCTCTTTTTTCTCAAGAACTCAGGATTTAGTTGCTTTTCATTCCCAACAGCTTCAGTCTAATTCAGGCCCTTATTTCTTCGTTTAGCAAAGATTTGTTAGGAGGTCCCAATGATGAAAAAAATGTCATCTTTGCTGTTCATTAACTGTGTGGAGAGGCCATCAAACCACAGTGAGCCAAAGTGGCAAGGGACAAAAATCCAGTAGGAGCTTGTGAGCCAAGCTGCTTAGGAGTTGGGAATTGTGAGCAGGTTTCATGGGGAGGTGACTTTCAGGCAGAATGGCATGAAGAAGAGCGGGCATTCTGTGAAGAGCAAGTGTCATGTCCACAGAAAGGATGTCTGGGAACTCAGGAATGGTTGGTTCTGTGGGGAAGTGCTGATGGCATGCCCAAAGCGAGAGGCAAGCAAGAGTGCCTCTGGGGCACAGCCAGATGCTTTGAAATTGACCATCCCAGCCTGTTTTCCCTGGGCTTCCAAGAATTCAGGTGGGTCTGAAAAGCCTGCCCTCCTCTCTGCTGCTTCATCAATCACACAAGAGCCTCCCTGGGAGCAAGAGCTGTCCCTCACACTGAGTCAGAGGCCTCCAATTTGTTACCACATTTTCAGACTCTGGAGGATTCCTGGGCACCCTCAATCAGGGGATTTGTGAGGTATAGCTAAGCCCCTCCCTCTCAGTTTATGGGACAGGGCTCAGCTGCATGGGCTCATTTGTCATGTTAGGGGAGGGGTGACCCAACTAATAGATGATGGAATGCTAGAATTCTATCAAACAAGAAGCCAGGAACCTTACTATTAACTGAATTTTAACCCTTTGCCAGGCATTTTACATGTCCTGGTGATTTATCCCCCAGGACTGCCTTATGATGAAGAGATCACCCCTTATTGGGCAAACAAGGCAACCCAAGTTCAGAGCAGTTAAGAATCTTGCCCAGCTCACACAGCTAGTGTATGCAAGTGGCAGAGCTAGCTTCTGCCCCACACCTACACCCCCAACACCAATTTGGTCCCTCTCCCAGTGCCCTGCTGTCTATCCTTAATACGGGTTTATCCAGCCTCTGCTTGTAACCCTGGGCTGGACGGTGGAGCAGCAGGGCTTGTGTATTTGTCCTGAGGGATGCCGCCTTGAGGAAAGGACTGACAGTAAGAGTGACCATGGTTTCCAGTGGGGCGAGTGATGGCCAAGTCGGCGAGTGGTCAAGGCCAGGGACTGAAGAGAGAACTCAGGAGTTTAAGGGTCTCCAATGAGGGACCTTCAGAACTGCCTCTTCCTCATCTAGGGGCAGCAAGGTCCTGGGGCCCAGGTGGTGGCAGCTGAAGGAGACTCAAACTGCTGGGGCCCTGCACGGGTGGGGACCTTGGCCAGTGCCTCTGAGGCGCCAACACTAAGAAGTGCTCAGAGTAGTGGGTTTCCCGCTGAATACAGGCCCTTGGCTGGAGCCAGAGCGGCTCGGACCACAGGGCCTGCGCTGACCAGGAGGCCAAGGCAGTCAGGCGATGAGAAAAATAAGTTCGGAGCCCAGCAGCCTGCAGTACCCAGAGGTCTGTGCCCACGCGGGCGCTCTGCCCACCCCGATGGTGGGCTCCCCACGCAGGGCCCCGCCCCCGCTCCTAAGGGCGGGGCGGGGACAAGTCTCCCACTTGGTCTTGGCCTTACAGAAAGTTCCCTAGGAAAGCCAGAGCACGGGAGTCACGGGGTGGGGGCGCCGGGAGACAGCAGCTGAGGGGGAAGCGGACAGTGGGCACTTCCGGGGCTAGAGAGTCAGGACCCCAACCCTACGTCCCGCGCGCCGAGCAGGGAGCTACCACCCTGGTCTTCGAGCTACTCGCGGGCACCGCTGGGCCCCCGACGGGGAGGGGCGGGAAGGGTCGAACCCTTGGCCTCCGCCCCCCAACAGAGGGTGTGGCCCGCGCCCTTCCCTGGGCGCCCCCGCTCCCCTCCGCCTCCGCCTTTCCTCAAACACCCCGGCCTCTGGGTTCCCTTCGCTTGTCCCCGCCCCGTGGAAGAACAGTCTTCCTCAGAAACACCACCCGCTGGCCTCTCGAGGCCGTCCGCAGGGACACGGAGGCAGGGAGCAGGAAAGGGGCTGTGCCTCGCGCACCCTGGACCCGCTTGTCGCTTCACTTCGTAGACGGCAGAAGACTAAGGTTTTATTTTATTTAGTGAAACATTCATTTGTAAGTGAATCTTCAGTGAAGACGTCCTGAGTGTGTGTGGCGAGAGGAAGGCCAGCAAACGGAGCTCACGCCCCTCCCCCGGGGCCTGCTCTCTCCGCCTTCCCCCAACTCGGCCGGGCCTCCTGGCCTCCCTCCCGCAGCCTCCCAGCCAACCAATCCCAGGTCCCGGCCCAAGTCCCAACTTGCCCAAGAACTGAGCCTCCAAAGGGAGAGGCTGGGGTAGGAGAAGAGTCAGGTGACCCACCGGGTAGGGAGGGCAGAGGCTGAGACCCGGCAGCCCCGCCTCCGAGTCACCGGCCAACCCTGAACCGGGGACTTGCACCACAAGTGCAGCCTCCCAAGGAAGCCTGGGTGTTTGGGGGAGGGGGGAGGGGGGAGGGGAGAAGCGTCCTTGTGAAGCTGCAAGGAAGAGTGGGGTCTTATCTTGCCCCCCAATAGGAAAAGGGTGCCAAGGCAAACACTAAATAGTGGTGATGGGTGGGGGATTGATGCTGTTCTCCTAAACCCTAGGAAGGCTCAGGGCACAGCAGGACAGGAGGGGGTGGGGGTGGGGGGGCTCATAGCCTCCTCCGTTGGCTGCAGAGACTCCTTCATTGAGAGTCACCTCTTCTGGGTCCGAAACTGTTTGAAGAGCCACTGGACAATGAAGGGCCACAGGAGGAAGAAGAGCAGCGTGGGACCCGACAGCCTGAAGGGCCAAGGCCGAGAACTGGCTGGGGGCCTCTGCTGCCAAGAGGGAGGGAAGGAGTCAGGGGTCAGCTCAGGCCTCAGCACAGACTGGACCCTTCTTAGGAACCTGCTTCCAGAACTCAGTAGGAGCTTCTGCTTCCCTGAGATTGTGAGGACTAGGGCACAGAAAACCCTACTCCCATATCTGCACCACTAGAAGCAAAGGCATCCTGGAGCCCCTAGTGTGACCCTGACAGATGAGCCCCAACTCCCTCCCACATCCTCCTCCCAGGGCAATCCTGGTGCCCAGAGGGCTGGAGGTTGGAGGGGCTACTGGGTAGAGGGACTGGCTTCTACACTGTCTCCTCTAGGCCACAAAGCAATCACCCTGTTGGTATGGCCTAAAGACCCCATATTATAAAGGATGTGCCACATATTTCAAATGAGGACCCTGGGTGTTCAGATTTTTGTTTCTAAATATTATTCTCTGCTAAAAGGAGCCAGGGCTCCTTGGAGAAGTGACTGATGGATTCCAGGTCTGGAACAGGGAAGGTAGAGGTGAATGTGGGACATCTTAGGCCAGAAAGCAAGGACGCTTTTAAAGATTAATGAGGTCATGTTATAAGAACATAGGGCCCAGCTTAAAAGGGTCTCCACTGACCAAAGTTGTGACAATCTGAGCATCAAACAATAATTGTAATTGATTGAAATATTGAATCTTTAAAATCCAGGAGTCCATAATGATTAAAAAAAAAAAGAGAGAGAAGGTTGGAAATTTGTCACCATTGAAATGGCTGCTAAATCAACTCCTTACTTTAAAAATAAAGAGAATTAAGCACTTATTCTGGCTTTTCATAGGGCATTATCAGATTTCAGGGACATCTAGATAATCAAGAAAACTACAGAAAAATAACAGCTAATAAATGTTAAAAGGGATAACAATTTAAAAGTCAATTTTTTTGCAATCCCTAAATAAACTATTGATCCAGGCAAGGATTATCTATCAGTTGTCAACATCTGTGTGGCAAATGGGGTGGGTGGGGAACTGGACATTCCCTGGCTGCAAGAGGAAAACGTGACTTTACCATGGTGGGACCGGACTGTCACCCCTTGATCTATACTAGTGGTCCATGTTAGAATCATTAATGGTGGGGCATCCAGATATGTGTCCCATGATAGGAAGGACATCACTTCTGATGAAATCTGGTCATGTAAAAAAGCCATCAGGATACAGATAGACCCAAAAAGTGGAACATTTCTACAGGACCATTGGCCCAGTCTCATTAGGAAGTCAGTAGCAAGGAAAAGAGACTGGTCTGGATTAAAAGTCTTAAAAGGACAGATGCAGCATGTGCTCCTGGGCTGGACAGACAGCAGCTGGAAAAGGCAATTTTGGGACAACTGGAGAGATTTGAAATGGATTGGCTATTTGGTGATATGATGGAATTATTGGGTGTGATAAAATTAGGTAGTTCTTATTTGTAGAGATGCAAACCCAAGTATTTCAGGGTAGAAATCTTTAAAATCTCCAGCATATGAAATTAATAAAAGGTAAACAAAAGAAATAAAGCCCTAGTGGGTAAGGGGTTTGAAATGTTAACCACTTATGGGTGTGAGGAAATTCCTGCCGCCTTGGCTGACACTGTGCCAAAGGGGTTAGGGGTCACCCAAGTGATCCCCCACATCCAGCAACTCAACCCTTGCCTGCCTCTATTAACCCAGGCTTCTCTAGAACAGACGCATTCAGATTTAATGGTGGGTGCCACCTTTGCAGGGAGACAGACCTAGGGCCACTCCCAGCTCCATCCTTAATGTTAATAATACTAACAAATAACAGTGAACACCATTCCGGAGGTCTTTGTGTGTTGGGCACTGGGAAAGTACCTACTCCCATTATCTCATCTAATCTTCACAGCAGCTCTGAGAGCTTCTTCCAGGATATGTGCCCTCAGGTAAATTACTCAACCTCTCAGACCCTTAGTCTCCTCATCTGTAAAAGGGAAATGAAGACCTCTTTCATAGGGTTGTTGTGTGGATCAAATGAGATAATAGCAACATGTTTGGCACACAGCGGGGGCTCCAGAAATAGCAGAAACTGAGGTGTAAGGGGCAAGCATATCTAGGAGACAAAGGGAGGGAGTGAGGGATGCAAGGGCTGAATTGTTGGGAGGTAAACCCTAAATCTGAGAACAGAAATCCTAACCCGCAGCCCCAGTGCAAAGAGCTGACAAATCCTGGCCCTTCAAACTGTTGGAATTAGTCCTCCTGCTCAATGTTTCTTCAGCCAAAGGGAGGTAAGGACAAGAAAAGTGGGCTCTTCCCACTCTCCAGGGTAGCAGCACTTCAGATCCCCTGACTTCCCTGCTTGTAACATGAATCACACCATTTTCTGGAGGAGGCAAAGGTGTGGGCAGGTAGAGACTTGGGGACAAAGACAGAAGTGGCTGGATAAAGAGCCCAGAATAGAGACCCTTGGAGTTCTGCTTCAATCTTGCCCCGGGCCTTGGGGGGGGGGGCTCACCTGCATGGGGGGACCAGGCATGCTCTCCAGGCTTTGCAGTCTCCCCTGGACATCCTGCATGCTTTCCTGAAGTGCGCGAACTGTCCCCACCAGCCACGTGTCCAATTCCTGGGGCCCCAGCGGGCTGCCCTTCAACCCCTCTGCGGAGGACAACACACAGGGAGGGGGACCCAGGAGGCAAATCAGCTAGAGTCAGGGTGATGGCAGGCTGGGGCAGGTCCAGGGAAGAATAAGAGTAGGGCACAATTCCTTGTACCAAGTGCGACTCTTATAAAGTCCATCCACGCAGCTAACAGGCTATCAGGGGTTTGAATCCCAGCAGTCCCACTTAGCTGTGTGACTTTGGGCAAGTCAGTGATTTCTCTGAGCCTCATTTTGTCATCTGAGAATTAGGGAGCTGTCCTCTCCCTCACAAGGCTGATTGCTCAAAGGCATAAAGGAGATAATGTTTATGAAAGTGCCCCTTATGGGACATGGCACACTGGAAGTTCTAAAAGGGGTTCGGGCAGAATTCATTGTTGTCCTTTGAGAGTGCCAAATGGGAGGCCCAGAGACAGAGGATGACTCCCAAGGCCATGTAGCTTTAGCTTCGTGGGGGGCTAGCACTCCTGCCCCAGCTGCTCTTACTCAGCTCAGCGCCTGATAGTTCCGATGGTCCGCAGGGAGAGGAGGCCGGGAAGGACTTTGTCCATCCAGGCCAGTATCTGGCTGCTTGACAACCCTTCCTGGGCAGAGGCTGCTCTCTCTAGTGCCCAGCACTGAACTTTCATCTTTGCCCCGCGAGGACAGTCAGAGAAAGGCCAGAAGCATGGGAAAGGGCAAAAGGGGTAAAGGGTTGGGCAGTGGCTCACCTTTCCCTGTGGGGGGCAAGGGACTGTTTCTGGTGTCAGACCCTCCTCCAGGGGTGCCCGGCTCTCCTCCAGGGGTGCCCGGCTCTCCTCCAGGGGTGCCCAGCTCTCCTCCAGGGGTGCCCCTCTGCTCTCCCCAAACCTGCCGAAATGAGTCATAAGGACCATGGGAGCAACCAGGCCACAGTGGGGTGAAGAAGGGAGGGTACAAGGGATTGTCTCACCAGCTCAGGCTCCAGCTGCTCCAGGGAATCACAGAAAATCTCAGAGTCCAGGTCTCTGGGTGACTGGGACTCTGGGGATGGGGTAAATAGGTTAGTGACTAGAGGGAAGCTATGGGGGGAGGGGTGTGTAACTGGGCAGGGGCACCTATTCAGGGGACAGTAGAGATTACTGCCACAAGAGGCACAGATGGGTCCCAGAAGTGAGGCCCTGGAACAGGAATTCCAGAACCTTCTTCCTGGCTTCCCCTAAGCACAGGAGGTCTCCATCTGAGGGCATGAGGTGTGATGGGCACAGCATGGCCCAGCCTTCTCCCCTTCACACCACTTGGAGGTCCCCCAACCCTGGCCTGGGTTTGGCCTTCTGCCCCTCTCGCTCAGGCACTGACCTGGACTTGGGAGTGCTGGTTCCTTGGCGAGGCAGGGAGGCTCTGGGATAGCCTCAGCATCTCCATTCAGGCCCTGCTCTTTTAAATCTGCAGAGACACGGGTGGGGCTGAGAGGAGGCTGGCGCCTCCCAGTGAGATCAGGCCTCTGCTCCCCATTAACCACAGACTCTGCCTGTGACCCACCCCATCAGGGGCACTGGTTGGGGTCCTTCCAGAGACATCACCTGGAGCCCTCTGTCCCCAGGCCCCACTCCAACTGAGCAGCCCCCTCAGCCTGGACCTAAGACAAATCACGCAGCACTTGCAGAGTTTCCATCCTGGGGGCCTGACCTGTGACCCTTTTCATGAGGGTTTCCGGGGGCCTTGGCATGTCAGGGATCAGCCGGTACAGGGGCTCAAAGTAATCAAACATGTCGTCTGCCACCTCACCCAGGGGCACTGTATCAATCACCTGTAGGGCATAAGGTTTATTGGGGAAGCAGCTGGCCCCTCCTACCCCTGCCCTCTTAGCCCTTTGAGCTGGGTGGGCCCCCTCCACCCTGCTTCTGCTCTCATACCCTCCACTTTGTGCCCAGTCAGAAGCCAGAGACAGCTGAGGGGGGCAGCATGAAGGTGGTAATTCCCACAGAGTGTCAATGTGCAGGAAACATAACGAGGGGCAGTACTGGAAGGGCGGGGTACAGGCCACCTGGCTGGGAGCTTGGGAACAGAGGAGCCTCTCCCTACCTTCTGTGCCACCACCTTCATCTCAGAGATGTAGGCGGACATGGCCTCCTCCCTGCTCATCTTGCCCAGGCTGTTCCAGGCATCCCTGGGGAGCAGAGGGCTGTGAGAAGCTGGTTTGACAGCTGAGCCTTGTTTGTCTGGCTGGTAGGGAGCTCACCATTTATATCGTCCAATGGGGTCCCAGAAACCAGGCCGGGGGACCAGGCAGGGCCCCATGGTAGCCTGCTTGTAGTAGCTGTAGAATCGCAGCATCTCTTCGTAGGAGGGGCGGTAATAGCCTGGGCAGGAAGTTGGGAAGTGGAGGGCAGAGCATCACCCCCAGCTCCAAGAGGATGGAGGTGGAGGGAGAACCATTCTTGGAGAGGGCCGAGATGGTGAGGGGTCTTCCCAGGGCAGTTGGTCAAGAGCAGGAGGCAGAGGGGACCCCCAGGGCAGCCCAGGCAGGGACTTGTCTGCAAAAACTTCACGGATCTGACCCACGGATCAGACTAGGGGGTAGACCCCAGTCATCTTGCCCCCCCAAATGCAGGTCCCCGTGCCCTCACCCTCACTGTTCTTAGGCAGGTTCTGAATGACTCTGACTGCGGCCTGGAACTGTTCCTGGCAGTCCGGTTCAGGGCTTTCATTCTTGGTACCCATACCCAGCTGTTCTGAGCCCTGGGGCTCTACTTTAGAGCGACTCTGCAAGAATAAGTCTCTGTGTGAGCAGGCCTCCAGGGTTCACCGGGGCACACACCTTCTTAAGCCTCGGATCCACTTGCCAGAGGGACAAACTAAGCTCCTCAGAGGCCCGAGTGAGATATCCGGGGAAGTCAGAAAATGTGGCTGGGGAGACTCCTTTTCCTACCCCAAGGTAGCGTGGGTGCGGCCGTGGCGGGTGGATAGGACTTCAGTGGGTGGGTGGCGAGGCAGGTGGCAAGGGGTCGCAGTGTCCCTCTAGTTGCACATCTCCAACTCCTAGATAGGCAAATGGGCATGCCAAGAGGAGTCAGGGCGGGCAAACAGTCTCCCACCCTGGCTCCCGCACCCCGGCCCGGCCGCCCGTCACTCACCCCGCAGAGCCCACTGCCCGGACACCGGGGTCTCGCCACTAGCCGGAGGCTTCCTACCGACCTCCCGGCCCAGCCTAGCCGGGATGGGGACGCAAAGCGAGGGGGGGAAACCTTAAGCCAATAAGAGAGCCCGTTTTAGAGTTGGCTTCTACACGCCAGCCACTCAAGGAGGCCCTTTCAAAGGTATGCAAATAATTTAGTTGTGCCTCTCCCAATCAGGCGGGGCGAATCCGCGGGTCGGCTCCCAACCCTAGACTGTCAGAGGAGGGCGGAAGCGCCTCCTGGTGGACGTAGTGAAATGACACGAAGTCCTCGCGCCCCCTGGTGGAAACCCGCCTCTGTCCCCTGAACCCAAGTCTCTACTTACCAGTCGCTGTAGATAAAAAAGGGAATCATGTCTGTGATCAGGAGTTCTGGAGGAGGAGCATCGGAGCTGAGTTTTGGAAGGCTTAAGAGTAAGCCAGGAGAAGAATGAGGAAGGTCATTCCTGGAGGAAGGAATTGCAGGATCAAAAGTGCAGAGGCAAAGACTTGACATTTAATATCCAGAGAGGAGTGGGGACCCAAACCAGCATGCGGAATCTCTGGGTCAAGGATATCTGAGAATGGGGTACAGCCTGGGGCAAGTGGGTGGCAAATCTAGGTCCTTAGTTAGAAACTAAGCTTTCTTTTTGAGATGCCACTCTCTTGGCAGCCGCCAAGTGGCGGTGTGCGCCCAGCTCTCCGTCCCCCACCAAGGGCACTTGAGACAGACAACGCAGTCGCGCGCGCACATGCAGTCACCTGTCCATCTAACACCTCACGCACAAATACGCAGGTGGTTTTCATATATAGTTAGTGTACACATGACACTGTCGCCAGAACCCGCACTCGACGCTTATCCACGGGTTGATGTCAGGGACCTCTACGCAGCGTGCAGCGGCCGTCCCAGGATGATCAAGCGCCCGGCTAGGGTGCCAACCCGTCCAAGCCTCGAACCCCAGAACCCAGTTCTTCCGGCGTCTCTAGACTTAGCGCAACCCAGACCAGTCAGCTCCCAGACGTCTGCCACTTGAGGTTTCGGGAACTGGTCGGACGCGGAGAGGGTTAATCCTATGATGTCACAGCCAGAGCCTTCCTACCCCCACCTACCACTTCCCGCTCCCCCACCCCTCCGGTTGAGCCCGGCTCAGTTCCCGGGGTTCTATCGACTTTCCGGGCCCTGGGACCCTTGGCCCAGGACGAGCCGCTTAGCAGACCCCGTCCCCAGTCTGGCTTCCTTCTGAGGCCTCCTGGTGGGACTAGAGATGGAGAGGGTGGAGGGGGGTCACGAGTTCTCATTGAGTCAGGGTCCGGGTAAGTGTGCGAAAGGGTAGCCCTCGCCCCTTCCAACGCCTTCAGTGGAGGTTCGGGTCGCCGGTGAGGCCGAGATCCGAGGATCACTCGGCGAATGTGGACTCATGAGCAGGGGCCGAACGCGGAGACTTGGAGAAGCGGGGACTCGGATCGGCCCCCATCCCATACCTCGGGGCGGGCCCAACTCCTCGCCTGGAGTCGCCGCCGCGTCTCCGCCGCGGCCTCGCGCCTCCCCCGCGCCGTCCTCGGCCCCGCCCGTCACTCCCTGTCCCTCCTTCCCTTTACCTCGTCCCTCCCTCTCTCCCTCCTCCCAACACCTCCTTCTCCCGACTCCCTCCCGGCGCCGCTAAGTTTCTTCGCTCGCGCCGGCTAGCAGAGCCGGGCCCGGCGGGAGCAGCGCCCCCGCTGCCCTGCCACCACGCAGATCCCGGGCCGGGCCCGGGCCCCTTCGAGCCATGCTGTGCAGCCACTGGAGGAGCCTCCGCCGCCGGCGCAAGGAGACCCGGGTGCGGGCCCAGGTCGCAGCGCCCCTTGCGCTCCCGCCCCCGCCCTCACCCCAGGACGGCGGCACCAAGAGGCCCGGGCTGCGGGCGCTGAAGAAGATGGGTCAGTGACCGGCGGGGGTGGTTCGGGTGGGCGCGGACTGTCCCTACAGCGCAGCTTGGGAGGGCTGGGGTGTTCTGGCTAGGCGCTCTTGGCCTTCCCAGGCTGCATTGGGTTGTGGGGAGTATGTTGAGATATAGAACGCCAGACCACTCCAGCTGGGGGTCGCACCTACGGTCACCGGGGTCCCTTGAGCCCGAGTGGGGCTCCTAGGGTGGCCTTTGTTTCCCACCAGGAGGCGCCCGCGGGGCGTGCTGGAGTTGGAATTTGGGCCAGAGGGGCGGATTGGGGTCCCTGAGGACCCGGAGAGTGCAGTGGAAGACAGGCTTGGGGCGTCCTTCACCCGCCTTCCCACACCCTGTGCCTTCTAGGGTCTGTGAGCGCCCCAGGGCACTCCGGGTTCTTGGCCGCCCTTAGGTAGGCATGAGACCTGAGGAAGGGGCTGGTCTCTTAAGCAGCCCTCCAACCCAGCATCCGCCACAGGGGTTGCAGCTGCAACACAGCACTGGCGGGACTGGTCTAACTGGTGAGAACATTGTCCTTGGTATCTGAAAGCCAGAGTTCCCATCTCGGATTTGGGGGAAGTCCCTGGGGGAGAGGGGGAGGGGGGGGCCTGCGGGGATGGGATGTAACTGACCTATTAAGCATCTCCCAGAGATGTGTGCCACTGGGTATTTACATACGTAGTACCTTTCTAAGAGGTAGATGGTACAATAACCGTTTCACAAATGATGAGACGGACTCAGAGAAGTCAAGGAATTTGTCTATGACCACACAGGTAGTAAAAGGCAACAGTTGGCATGCAGGCTGTGCGCCACCACACTGCCGTTGGTACCCTCAGAGTCTGGGCAAAGTGGAACTGACTGGGTGGTTGAGTGGCTTGAAAGAGGGGGTCGTATGTGTGAGAGTATTTTTTTAAATGTGAAGTATTGTGAAACATCTATCAGAAAAAACAACAGTTGGTAGAATAGTTAATGATGGAGAGGTCAGGTATGGGTCTGAGGGAACAGAAGGACAAGGCTTCCCAGGAGGCCTGTGTGAATCTTGGGGCAGAGTTTAGGGGTCCTGATTGTCAGTCTTGCCTTCTCTTTGCCACTGCCCTCCCCTGGTTCTTACTTCTGCCTCCTCTCACTCATTCAACCTGAATTTATTGAGCACAGGTTATGTTCTGAGCACCGTGTCTGGCACCCTCCTTAAGACATGATCTGTGTTCTACCCTCCATCAATCATGTATGCACTCAACAAACATGCCTACAGTATGCTCTGCCCTGGGGCTTCAGCAACAAACAGGACAGACACAGTCCTGTCCCTTCCTGAGCATCAGGAAGGAGGTCAGACAATGAAGCAAAGAAGCAGTACTAGGAAGGAGGGGGCAAGGGAGGGGAGCCAGCAAGGGCCCTGGGCTGCACCCCAGAGCCAGAGACTTGAGTGAGGCAAAAGGGGAGAGGTAGGTGGGGCCAGATCTTCAAGGCCCCTCCTTATGGAGTTATGGACTTTCTCTGACGGTGGCAGGAGTTGTGTTAAGTAGAGGTGGGTTGGACTAAGGCAGGGGTGAAACAGGAAGACCCGTAGGAGGGAGGCCGAGAGGTCAGTTGGGCAAGCTATGGTGGGGCTCGGACGAACTTGGGCTGGTGTAGCCAACGTGGATTCCAGAGCCACCTAGGACGTAGACCAGGCTGGACTGTGCAGTCGGCGGAATTGGAAAGGCATCTCTGGTGGGTAGCAGTGTCATTCTCTGGGCTAAGGAGCAGTGGCGGTTTGGAGAGAGAACGATGGCTGTTGGGATGCCACTGAGACAGCCAAGGGCTGGTGTTGAGCTACAGCAGCAGCCCCAGGAGTCATCCATGGACACGAGTTGGATGCCGTGGAAGGGGCAGAGGTGACGCCCGGTACACCTGTCTGCCTCTTCATTCCACACACGTTTGCTCAGCCCCATCAGTGTGCCCCAGGCTGGGACTATGGAGATGACTAGCACAGAAACTTGCCCTGGGGGAGCTCACAGTTTAGTAGCAGGAGACACAGGCAGACAAATAATTAGAGCTAAGGCCAGGCTGAGTAAGTCTTCACGGGAGTTCTGGGCACTCTGTCACAGTGACACTGTCAGGAACTCTGTGGGTGTCAGAATGTCACCCTCCTTCCCCACTACTGCCCTGTCTGAGTGACTGCCAAGAGAGGAATGTCTCCTGTATGGGAAATGCCCTGTGCACAGGCCTCACTGAGTCCAGGGACGGGGTGCAGGTGAAACCCAGGTATCCTGGGGCTCAGTCCCTCAGGCCATCAACACCAAGGCCTGGGCCCACCACTGGGGTAGCTTCCCTACCACCCAAGCCACAGCTCCTCCTGCAGTAACCTTCACAGCTGTGCCCTGTCATGACCATGGCCACACCCCTTAGGCTAACTGAGAACAGATTTTATTTCAGACCAGGTCGAGAGAGAGGCTAGTGCAGGGCGTGGCTCTGAAGCCAAAGGCTCAGAAGGGCCCAAGGAAAAGAAAGGGCTTTTAGGGCCCTAGTGGGGGGGAATCTGGAGGGGAGGAGGTCAAAACAGCCACCCCCACGTGAGTGGGAGTCATTTCTGGAGCCTGAGATGGGCCAGGCGCAGTGCTGAGCCTGCTTCAACCTAGACCGTACTTAACCCCCAGGGCCCCTGAGGGCAAGGTGCTGCCTGCCGTCTTCACATTACAGATGAGAAACTCAGGTGAAGGGGGTAAAGTCACCGGCCCAGAGGCCACAGTGTCTGCCTGCCTGGCGCCAAAGCCTAGTTTTCAATGATGGTTCTTTATTGCCAGAATGAGTGAATACTAGTTAACATCTTTATAGCACTATGCTGAGGCTTTTCACATATTAGCTCATTTAATGCTCACAATCATGTGAGCCTTGTTTTACAAATGAGGAAACCGAGGTTCAGAGAGATTCACGGTAGCTGAGAGAGGATGTGAACCCAGGCAACTGGCCCAGAGTCCAAACTCAGAACACAGTGAATGAATGAGTGATTTTTACCTGAGGAGAGCCTGCTACTGTCCCCCATGGTGGCCCTGCCAGCCTCCAGGGGTGTCCTCATAGGCTGTTAAATGTGAGCTTCAAATAAACAACGAATGATTCAGGACATATTTATACTAAAAGATCATTTGTTGTTTATCTGAAATTTGAATTTAAGTGGCATCCTGAATCTTCCCTGGCAGCCCTGTCTCCCCAGAGCCCCTCTCTGACTGTGTGCCCCTGACGCTCCACCCTGCCCTTAATCTGCCCAGTGAGCAGAGCACTGAGTGGGCAGAATCCCGCTCCCTGCCCCCCTCGGCCTGCACACTCCCAGTGCCACGGGGCAAGAAGGCTTTCCCATGGCCTGCCCGGGACGTCTCCTTCAGGGTGAGCGGGGCTGCTGTGGTTGGGGTTAGCAGGTGGGGGTCTTTAGAGCGGCCCCCAGTGCTGGCAGTTTTCTGGCCTGGTGGTGGGGAAGGCTGGGCAGCCCTGCTTGCGAAGCAGGGGCATGCCAGGCGGGACCAGTGGTGGGGGAGCTGGCTCCGTCATGCCTTGTGGTCCCCCTGGCCTCTCCTCTTTCTTCAGCTCTGGGGAGCCCTCTCCCCCACGACTTCTGCCCCCAAACAGGCTTCACGCCTGTCCTAGCTCTTCCAGGAAGGGTGCTGCCACCTTCGTCTCACTGTGTCTGGTCAGGGGCCAGGGAAGCACCGCCTGCCTTTCCCGACTTTGCTGATTCTTCAAGGAATGTTATGGACTCTGGCGCTGAGCTCCGAGCTCCGCTGGACTGTACGCCTGGGTGTGGCGGCGAGCCGGGGCAGGGGGGACGTGCTGGGTTCCTGAGGTGCTAGGGCTGCCTGCTGGCTAGAGGCTGCAGGTGGGAGGGTGTTTGGGACCCTTCACCATTGCTTGTCCCTTCCCAGAGCCTCATGGCCCCAGCCACCAGGAAAAGCTGCTCTCCCTCCCCTCACCCGTTGGCATGAAGCTGCCAGCTGTCACTGTTTCCTGCATGTCTCACATTCCTGCTGGTGTCCCATGTGCCCTTCCTGAGCGTGCACTGGTGCGCGCACGCACACACACAGGCACACACACTGTCCATTTCCCTCCCCAAGCTGACCCACCTTCCTCCTTCCCACCAAACACATACACACACACCAGTGCATACACCCTCTATGTACACACCAACCTACACGCATCCTCAGTGGAAACCTACCACTCCTTTCACACCCTGCTCTCTGCATATTACCCTTCTGTCTACACACCCCACGATGACACAGCAGCTCCCCCCCTTTCCCATCCCACTGCCAGCCCGCTCTGGCCCCTGACTGTTCCCTGTGCAGCCTTTGCACCCATCCCTTCCTTGGGTGGCCCCCACAGCTTGCCTTCTTTGAGTGGCCCATCCATGAAAAGGGTGGACTTGGCCTTCCTCACAGCCCCTCCCAGCTCAGCCATTGAGGCAGTTTCCTGTCCCTGGCTTTGGCCCCAAACCCCACACAGCCCAAAGGGCCCAGGCTGAAGGTAGTAGTTGGGAAACCGTGGGCCTGCCCATTCCTCACCACCTTCTGGCTGCTCTCTGGGGGCTGAGATAAGCAGTCGGCTCAGGGAAGGTGTGTGAGCCCCAAGTGACAACAGGAACTGGGCAGGAGAAGGACCCAGCTGGAGGCCAGGGGACTTAGGACAGAAGTAGCAGAAAACCTAGGTCTGTGGTGCCTCCCAGGGCACAGCCTCAGTTTCCTTCTTTATTGTCGTTTATTGAGTGTCCACTGTGAGCCAGGCTCTAAATGGAGCACTGTATGTGCTTTTAGCTCATTGGAGACACACGTATTGCTGGGGTTAGGCCTCCCCAGCTCTCATGCATTCCAGCTCTACTACTTACTGACCCGGTGACCATGGCCAAGTTAGTTGGCCACTCTGTGCCTCTTGAACAGCTTTACTGAGAATTATTGAGAATGGGTGAATACCATTCAGTTCACCCATTTAAAGTATACATGGTTTCTAGTATGTTACATTATTAATTTTTAAAATTGTGTTAAAGTATACATAACGTAAAATTGGCCATTTTAACTATTTTTAAGAGGCTAATTCAGTGGCATTCATTATTCACAATGTTGTGCTATTTCCAAACTTTTCCATCACCCCAAACAGAAACTCTGTAATCATTAAGCGGTAATTCCCCATCTTCCCTTCCCTCAGCCCCTGGTACCCGCTAATGTACTTTCTGTCTCTGAATTTTTTTAAATTGAAGTATAAGTGACATATAATCTGTCTCTATGAATTTGACTATTTTAGGTACCTCATGTAAGTGGAATCATATACAAAGTTTGTCATTTTGGGTTTGGCTATTTCACTTAGCATATTGTTTTCAAGGCTTATCCATGTTGTAGCAAACATCAGATTTCACTCCTTTTTAAGGCTGAATAATAGTCCACTGTATGGACACAGCCCATTTTGCTTATCTATCCATCAATGGACACTTAGGTTGTTTCCACCTTTGCTTATCGTTTGTCATTTTTACTGCTATCATTTCATGGTTGTTCCCCCACCTTCTCAGACAAGGTAGCCATCGGGCTGGCCCAGCCCAACTCCAGGTTCAAGGCAGAGAATGGATAGATAGAGAACCCACAGAAATCACAGGAGGCCAGCAGCTTGTGCACCTGCTCCGAGCAGGTAGAACTGAGGTCAAGGAAATACCTGTGGGTTTGGACTTGGCAGGACTTATGAATGTTTACTGGGTGGCTGGACACAGTCAGGCCCCTCCCAGCATCACTGCCCACGGACTGGGCCCTCCTCCTGACCTCACCCCCTTACTTCTGTTGGCCCTGCCCTTCCTGCCTGATATCCCAGGATCCTTATTACCCCAGGGTTCAGAAGCTTAAGCAATGGGGAAATAGAGACATGCAGGTATTTGGCACCTGGCCCAGTCTGGCCCTGCACCCTCATTCTGTTTGGCTTTTCCACTTGGGGTGTGGAACTGGGGGACAGTGTGAACCAAGGGGCTGTGTGATCCAGGGGCCAGTGCCAGTTGGGTGGACAGACCCCTTCCCCCGACAGGTTCCTGGGGGGCCAGGGACCCCCTCAACATGGGAACCTGTCCCTGTGGGAGGCTGGTCAAGAGTTCAGGCTGCGTGTGTCCATGTCCCCTTTGTAAAAGACTCTGGAAAAAGCAGGCCTTAGTGACTCACTTCCATTTCCGGCCTTAGTCATTTACTAGCCCCCTTCCTTTCCACCCCCACAACTATGGACTTGGCATCAGAGGGCCGGCCAGGTCAAGGAAGGTGGCCCTACTGCATGCAGTGCCTGGTTGTCACAGGAAGGAAGAATCCCTTTCCCACAGCTGAGAGATGGAGGAGAGATGGGTGCAGTTGTGATGGCCCTGCAGGCTTCCCTGAGTGCTCTGACCCCCACCCCATTATTTCTCAGGATGAGAGAATTCAGAGGTTGCCTGGATAAGGGGATAGAGGTCTGGGGGTCTGGTGAGTCTCTTAGCCTGGCACAAGCTATGTTCCACCTCTTTGTCTGGAAAGAGGAGGGTTCCACCTCCCCTTCCTGGCTAGGGGCCACTGAGTGGGCACTGACCTTTCCAGAGGGCCACAGTCTATACTTTGAGAAACCCCTTGGAGCCATTAGGGTCACAGAATGGCCCCAAGGGGGACCTTAGCCTCCATAGGATGGTAGGTTTCTCCAACTGCCCCTGAGACCCTGATTCTCAATCAGTCACCCTCAAAGTTACAGGGTGGGTTTTTAAACACACAGATGCCCAGCCTATACCTGCTGGATGAGAATCTCTGGGCCATGGGTTTTGTAATCTCCCCCAGGGATACTGATGCACAGCCAGGGTTGAGAAACCCAGGCCCACAAGGCATCTGCTCTGAACTCAGCACAGAAGCAGGCAGGGCTGGGGATAGGGTGCACTTAGTCCCCCAGCTGTCTGTCTATCTGCCTCCCCTTTCACAAAACACTGGCTGCAAGCCTGGCTCTGGGACAAGCACTGAGGTGAAGATACTGGACCCCATCCCTGCCCTTGGGTTCATTAAAGTCCAATGAAATTACAGTTTAGGTGAGTTTTTGTTTGTTTGTTTGAATTAAAGTAAAAAGTGTTCTTGGTGGTCAGGGAGGAAGAACTCTCATTTGAGGACAAATCAAGGAAGGCTTTCTGGAGGAGGTGATGTCTTAGCCAGACCCTGAAGGAGTCCAGCATGAGGAAGAGAAAAGAAAGAGAAGGATCCTACAAAGGCTCCAAGAGAGCGTGAAAGAGGAAGGCCCAGGAATTTAGACTTGATTCCTTAGGTCAGAGTTTGCAGTTGGGCAAGCAGGGGCCTTGGGGCTACAAAGCTTAAAGCCAGACCCAGTTTTGGGGGCTTGTTAAAATAAAGGATGAGAAATCCACAGGCCTATTTCCTGGCCCACGCAGTGGTGTTTCGGGTTTTTTGTTTGTTTATTTCAGTTTGATTTAGCTGCCAACATTGAAAAATCTGGAGGCTGCACATACAAATCCAGATCCCTGTTCTTTGGAGCCTGGGCCCTCATCTAATCCCCCTGCTCACCTCCTTCCAAAGGGTGTGGCACTGGTTTGCCTGGTTCCCACCCTTTCTGTTGTATCCTGGCTTGGAAACCCTTGACCCCTGATGAGTTAAATCCAAGCAGGGTGTGGCACCACCCGGATGGGCAGCATCTTGACTGAATTTTGGATTTTGTAGCAGGTACTTCTGTGGCCTCCATTTTATTAATGGAGAAAATGAGGTTTAGAGCAGCCCCAGGTTAGTGCCACCAAGGCTGTGTAACTGGGAAGTGACAGAGTTGGGACTTGACTCCCCAGAACCCTGAATTTAAATTCTCTCTCCGAAAATATTTGCAAATGATATATCTGATAAAGGGCTAATGCCCAAAATATATAAAAGACTCATACAGCTCAATAGCAAAAAAAAAAAAACCAAACCAACTAAAAAATGGGCAGATCTGAAGAGACATTTTTTCGAAAGAAGACACAGATGGCCAACAGGTACATGAAAAGATGCTCAACATCACCAATCATCAGGGAAATGCAAATCAAAACCACAATGAGATAGCACCTCACATCTGTCAGAATGGTTATCATCAAAAAGACAAGTAATAACAAGTGTTGGTGAGGATATGGAGAAAATGGAACCCTTGTGCCCTGTTGGTGGGAATGTAAGTTGGTGCAGCCACTATGGAGTTTCCTCAAAAAAATTAAACATAGAATTACCATATGACCCAGCAATCCCACTTCTGGGTATTTATCTGAAGAAAACGAAAACACTATCTAAAAAAGACATAGGCACATCCATGTTCATTGTAGCATTATTTACAACAACCAAGATATGAAACAAAGTGTCTATCGATTAATGAATGGATAAAGAAAATGTTACACATACAGGAATATTATTCAGCCATAAAAAAGAATGAACTCTTGCCATTTGCAACAACATGGTTGGACCTTGAGGGCATTATGCTAAGGGAAATAATTCAAAAATAGAAAGAGAAATACCGTATGGTCTCTCTTATATGTGGAATGTAAAAGTAAAACAAACCAAGTTCATAGATACAGAGAACAGATTGGTGGTTGCCAGAGGTGGGGTATGGTGGGGTGGGGGTATAGGAGAAATGGGTGAACTTTTTTTTTTTTTTTTAGTTAAAATAAATTGAATATGAAATAAATAAAGAAAAAAATTCTGCTGTTTCCTACCCCCACTTTGCCCAGGGTGATAGCAGGGAGTGGCCGGAGGCAGGATGATGGGAGCAAGAGCAGCGGGGTTCAGTGCCAAGCACAAAGGTGCTGGAGCCTGACCTCCTGGGTGCGAAGCCTGCTTCCACCACTTCCTAGCGGTGGAATTCCAGCAAGTGGCTGAAGCTTCTCTCCACTTGTTTCCTCGTGTGTTAATAGATGAGTGTGTGCAGTAGGTGTTTTGTAAGCATTTCATCTTATTAAGGAAGGTGGAAATGTGGGCTGAGGGGTTACATGGGGTTATGACAGTGGCTAGGCAAGGGGGAGTGCCAAGTGTCCCAGGAGACTGACCATGCTTTCAACTGGGCCCCACAAGGGCACAAAGAGAACACCTGGAGATCAATGTCAGGATAGCTGAGGCAGGTCCTGGAGGCCTTGACCTGTGACCCAGGAGCCAGAGTGACCTCTGCTTGTCTTCCCTTGTCTTTGGGAAAGCAGAGATGAGGAGCTTGGGCTACAGCACGAGAGATTTAGGTTATATCGTGAGACTACTTTCTTGATGGTCAGGGTTTCACATCAAGGAAAAAGACTGTTGGTAACAGATTCTGGACTTGAAGGCTGGCGGCTGTGATGCAGGGGAGTGGCAGAGACGGTGACCTTTAGTGAGGCCTGAGTCCCAGGTGTGGCCTGTGAGGGGTTGCTCTGCTCTAGGGCCTCAGATGTTGCTTCCTGGTAGGGAGGAAGGGCCTGTTACTGGCACCCTTCCAGGGGGGCCTGCGTGGGGCACATCAAGGCTCGAGTCACACCCAGCAAAGGGTGAATGTTCCCTAAGACGATGTCCCCTGGCCTCCCACCCCGCAGGCCTGACTGAGGATGAGGACGTGCGCGCCATGCTGCGAGGCTCCCGGCTCTGCAAGATCCGCTCGCAGAAGTGGCAGAAGGAGCGGCTGTACCGGCTGCAAGAGGACGGCCTGAGCGTGTGGTTCCAGCGGCGCATCCGCCATGCACCGTCGCAGCACATATGTGAGCTGGGGCCGGTGGGCATCGGCGGGCTTGACAGTGCCTGGGCGGGGACAGTACCCAGCTGGCCCACCACTTCTAACCTGCCTGGTGTGGCCGCCCCTCCCCGCAGTCTTCGTGCAGCACATCGAGGCCGTCCGCGAGGGTCACCAGTCTGAGGGCTTGCGGCGGTTCGGGGGCGCCTTCGAGCCAGAGCGCTGCCTCACCATCGCCTTCAAGGGCCGCCGCAAGAACCTGGACCTGGTGGCGCCCACGGCGGAGGAGGCGCAGCGCTGGGTGCGCGGCCTGGCCAAGCTGCGCGCGTGCCTCGATGCCATGAGCCAGCGCGAGCGCCTCGACCAATATCCTGTCCCCAAGGGTGGGGGTGGAGTGGGGGCGGGGGGGCGGGGCCAGGCGTGGAGAGAAGCTGGTCCTATCCTTGGAGGACCGCAGGCCCAGGGGAGGTACGCCCCTTCTTTAGGGGACCCCCAGTCTGAGCCAGAGCCCCTTGTCTTCAGAACTAAGGGTGGGGATGTGGCCTCTTGGCTCTGGGGAGCCCCAGTCCCATGGAGGACACCCCACTGCTGTGCTCAGAGCCAGGAGGTGGTGACATACCTGTCGGCTGCCTGTCAGCGAGGGGCAGTGCCCAACCTATGGCTGGTATTTCCTGAGCACCCACACCTGGATCCACTCCTATCTGCACCGGGCAGACTCCGACCAGGACAACAAGATGAGCTTCAAGGAGATCAAAAGCCTGCTCAGAATGGTCAACGTGGACATGAATGACATGTACGCCTACCGCCTCTTCAAGGTGGGTACCGTCCACCACTTTGACCTCTGACCTCTGTTTTCTGCCCTCCCCCAGCCATCGCAGTCACCAGCTTCCCTCCCCACCTCGCGTTGGTGGAGAAAGTGGCCTCTCCCGGCAGAAAGGCCACATCTGGGTCTACTTACCTTTTGATTCTCCCCTAAGGCCAGTGGGCCAGGATGGGAGTGCTCCCCAGAGCTGCTTTCCTCACCCTCGGGAAGAGCCCATGGGTAGGGAGGATCTCAGGCCTCCCCAGCCCTCCCAAGTGAGCAGCATAGCTGTAGTTTTAATTTCTCTAAGTCCACAGGGCACCATTTACACAGGTGACCACCTGCTAGCCCATGGGAGCACAGTGTCAGCTCACAGGCACACGAGCACGCCCTCCTCCACTGTGGCACATATGACACCTTCACCTATGTGGGCGCAGAGACGGGCACACAGGGCTGGGCTCTGCATCCATGACCCTGTCAGAGCACATGGCAGACCCTGTGTAAATGCTGACTATGTGACCAGCCTGTGACACTGAAAGACAGGAGAGCCATGGCACCTGTTCCCCTGGGCCAACAGCGCCACGTGGAGCCTCAGTTCTTTGTTACTCATTGACCCTGGGTGTGAACGTGGGAATGTATACACACAGGAGGGGGGACTGTGGCACAGGGGCTCAGTTCTGCCCTCGGGTCACCATTTTTTCTCCCACATCTTGATTCTTGGGGTAGGTCATGGTACAGAGGGATAGGCACTGAACCCGAGAGACCTTCCTAACTAGCCCTGCAAGTTACCATCTGTGTGAACTTGAGCGAGACCGGAGCCTCGCTACCTCTCAATTCCTCTACCAGTGAAATGGGGGACATCTGCCTTCCTGGCCATGGTAGATGATGGTTGTGTCAGTGCAGGCCTGCTTTTTCTGTCCCCTCCTCTGCATCTCTCCTTCTGCTTTCTAGGAGTGTGACCACTCCAACAACAAGCGACTGGAGGGGACTGAGATTGAGGAGTTTCTGCGGCAGCTGCTGAAACGTCCCGAGTTGGAGGAGATCTTCCATCGGTATTCAGGCGAGGACCGTGTGCTGAGCGCCCCTGAGCTGCTGGAGTTCCTGAAGGACCAGGGTGAGGACGGCGCCACGCTGGCCCACGCTCAGCAGCTCATCCAGAACTATGAGCTCAACGAGACAGGTGGGGATCTGATAGGTGATTTGGGGTCATCACATCCCACATCTTGGCATCTGATAGGTCTGGGTTCCCAGCTAAGCAGGCTTTGCTATTAATGGCTCTGGGCGCCATTTTGGACAGGTTATCTTGCCTCTTCTAGACTCAGCTGCCACATCTGTAAAATGACACAGTAGTGTATCTTCCTCATAGGGTTTGGCTGAAGATTAAATGGCATGACTGTAGAGTCCAGTCCATAGAGAGGTGCTCATCATTATCAAGTGAAGTGAGCTCTGGGGGCATTTGGAGCTGGACATGAGGGTCCCCTATGTGGCCTGCTGCTGTCTTCTGCCCGTCCCTGCAGCCAAGCAACACCAGCTGATGACTCTGGATGGCTTCATGATGTACCTGTTGTCGCCCGAGGGGGATGCCCTGGACCCTGCCCACACGTGCGTGTTCCAGGACATGGACCAGCCCCTCGCCCACTACTTCATCTCCTCCTCCCACAATACCTATCTGACCGACTCTCAGATCGGGGGGCCCAGCAGCACCGAGGCCTATGTTAGGTACTGTGGCGGTGGACACTTCTGGGAGCCCAGCTTGGCGGGGGGGGGGAGATGGAGTTCAACTCCCACTGTGGGCTTCCTGGGGCCCACCTGGCTAAGCCTGTGCCACCTACATGACACCTTGGCTTGTGTCTGTCTGCAGGGCCTTCGCCCAGGGATGCCGCTGTGTGGAGCTGGACTGCTGGGAGGGGCCAGGAGGGGAACCCATCATCTACCACGGCCACACACTCACCTCCAAGATCCTCTTCCAAGATGTGGTCCAGGCCGTGCGCGACCATGCCTTCACGGTGAGCCCCCATGGCCCCCCGCCCTGCACGGAGAATCACTTGTTCCCCAGGTGCTGCTGGGACAACTGACGGATGGGGTAGGATAAAGCTGAGCGAGAGGCTCCCTTCTCCCACCCTCATATTTAGTAAACGTATTAAAAACCACAGAATTTCTAGAAGAAAACCTTGGAGTAGGGAAGGACATTTTAATGACTCCCAAAGAGTAAGCCATAAAAGAGAAGCTTAACATGGTGTCGACATAAAGTTGCAATTTCAGTCAAGCTACACAAATCTGACCGTCTACACTAATCTTACAGTCAACAAACGGTGAGCTGGAGGGACAAGTTTGCTGCCTAATGACAATGGCCAACCATTCCTGCAGCTGCCCTCAGCCTCCCAGACAGTCCATCCCTTCTCTGAGGCCCCATATCTGCCCTCTGCCCTCTGTGTACACACTAGCCCCCACGTGTGTCCCGCATCCCACTGCTCAGTCCCCCGCAAGAGTGGGTTTTCCAGAGCTCTGCCTTTGCCTGCCTGTCCTGAAAGGAGCTGGGGCCTGAGTGTAGCAGGGGTCCTGGTTGGGAAGGGAATGAGAGGGAGCGGGTGAGTATCTCCAAGCTGCTGCCTCTCCCCCCGACAGCTGTCCCCGTACCCGGTCATCCTATCCCTGGAGAACCACTGTGGGCTGGAGCAACAGGCTGTCATGGCCCACCACCTCCGTACCATCCTGGGGGATATGCTGGTGACACAGGCATTGGACTCCCAGAATCCTGAAGAGCTGCCGTCCCCAGAGGTGATGCTCCCGGACCCCCAGCCTGGGTGGGGAAGGGTCTGTCTGCAGTTCACCATCCACCCTGCTCATGCCACTTCCCTGGTTCACCTCTTTCTGCCTTAACCTTCCCCTGTTCCTCCCTTCATCGGACATCTGTCACCCCATGGTCTTGTCACTCTCCTGCTCTCCATTCTTTTTTTTTTTTTTTTTTTAGCTGAGCCATCCTGCCACCTGTTGGCAGCTCAGCGGCAGCTCAGCTCAGGCCAGGACTCGAACTGCTGTTGCTCAGAACTTGCACTCTTGAGCGAGCTCTTAACCAACTGAGCCACTCGGCTGGTCCCCTCCTTCATTTTAACGGCTGCTGTGTTGTGTTCTCATGTTTGGCGGGACCTCATTAGCCCGTTCCCTGTTAACGGCCTCACAGGTTGTTTCCCATTTTTCCCCGTTAGAAACTACTCACCTTTGTGTCTCCTTTCCTGCTCCTCACCCCAGCCAGCCCTTCACACAGTGATGGCTGAGTGACTGGCCAACCAGCTGACAGGGCAAGAGGGCTTAATCCTTCCATGTTGGCCTCTACAGCAGCTGAAGGGCCGGGTCCTGGTGAAGGGGAAGAAGCTGCCAGCTGCTCGGAGCGAGGATGGTCGAATTCTATCGGACCGGGAGGAGGAAGATGAGGAAGAGGAAGAAGAGGGGGTGGAGGCTGCAGAGCAGAGGCGGCAGGTGAGTGGGGTGGGCTGGGCAGGGGCTTGGCACTCCTGTGGAGCTTGGTGAAGGGCAGGAAGCTGAGGACTAGGGGCTGGAGCTGGCGGAACCCCCCGCTGAGGCTCGTCTTCCAGGCCAAGCAGATCTCCCCGGAACTGTCCACCCTGGCCGTGTACTGCTGTGCCACCCGCCTGCGGAACCTGTGCCCTGTCCCTGCCCCAACCCAGCCCTGCCAGGTCAGCTCTCTCAGCGAGCGCAAGGCCAAGAAGCTTGCCCGAGAGGAAGGTAGGACATCAGGCGTCTGGGGGCAGGAGGGCAGTGGGGCCTGCAGGCCCCTGGTGGGGGCGTATCCTGAAGTTGGTCTGGAAAGGAGATTGAGAGGGCTTTGGGGGCAGTAGAGAGGTCAGGAAGACCCCAGAGAGGGGCTCAGGAAATGAGTTCCCAGCACATGCCCAGCACTGGGCCAGGGGTGCATGGAGGGGAGAGGGCCCAGGGAGGAGGGAGGCTGCTATCTGCCTTCACTGGGAGCACAGCCCAGTAGTGGGGCAGACATAGCTGGGTAATTATGATGTGGGGTAATCGGTTGGGCCACAATAGGGGCTGGGGGAGCCCAGAAGGGGGTGAGATCAGGGAAGGACTGAGCAGGTGATACCTGAAAAGACACCTGACAGAAGTATGAGGAAGCAGCAGCCAGGTGACAAAAGGGAAGGGATTTCCAGACAGGAGGAGCAGGTTGCAAAAAAGTCTGCAGACATGACATACAGGAAGGATTTCAGGAACCCAGTGTAGCTGGAGGGTGCATGGGAGATGAGTGATGATAGACAGGGAGTGGACGTCAACTTGGGGCTGGTGTTCCAACCCCACTGGAGTCGGGAATGTGGGGACTTGGGGCTGGGATGCAGTGCAGGGCTGTGGGAGGGGTCCCTGCTCCTGCCTGGACTTCAGCAACCTCATGAGGTTCTCTCACCCCCTGGGTCAGAGAGAAGAGGAGCTGGGGCAGGGGTGCCTGGGGATGGGAATTCAGTCTCTGTTCCCAGCTTGTCTCTGCGGTTGGGGGAGGGGTTACAGGCCCTGGCACTGGGAGAGAGACACCCAGGAGCCTGTCACAGTCCAGCCTACTCTCCCCCAGGGAACAGCTTTGTCAGGCACAACACCCGCCAACTGACCCGTGTCTACCCGCTGGGGCTGCGGATGAACTCGGCCAACTACAGCCCCCAGGAGATGTGGAATTCAGGCTGTCAGTTGGGTGAGTGGGGCAGCAGAGCAGGGAGTGGGCAGGGTGCTGCTGCTTTGTGGGATGGCCTCTGGGGCGCCATGGGAGGCCCCAGCAGTGATGGGGCCACACAGCTTTCCAGAAGGTGGAAAAAAGCATTTTATTGATAATAACAATTATTAGAAGAATGGTCAGCAGGGTACATGGGGAAACACAAATCAGGTTAGTTTTCTAGTGTAAAAGTCTCACATTTTTATGAAGGTAGAAGTTAAACACCTCCACCCCTGACACAGCCCTGGCAGTCCCACACTGAGCCCGCCAAGGGTGGGGAGTGTGGTCCCCTTGTGGATAGGTACGGAAACCTTAGGCCTCCTCAGGCCCTGGCTCTGGCCCAGGCCTGGCCCTGAAGCTGGGGACTTCTCCAACATGTCCCACTCAGTCCCCCCCACCCCCACTCCGGCCTCAAGGGATACCAGGTGACAGTGGGGTCTGGATCTCCTGGCTGCTGTGACAGCCCCCACCACACCATGGTGGGGGTGGGGCAGCATTACCCATACAGTAGGACCCTGGGACCTCTGTAGAGAGGAAGTGAGCGTTCTGCCCACAGGTCTGTCTGGGGGAGAGGGCAGTGTAAAGCCCCTGAAACTGGGCAGTGAGGAGAGGGCCACCAAGAGCTCCTGTCCTGACCCTATTGTGTCCACAGTGGCCCTGAACTTCCAGACACCAGGCTACGAGATGGACCTCAACGCTGGGCGCTTCCTCATCAACGGGCAGTGTGGCTATGTCTTGAAACCTGCCTGCCTGCGGCGGCCCGACACAAACTTCGACCCTGAGTCCCCTGGACCGCCCAGAACTACTCTCACCATCCAGGTCAGCAGCTTGGACCAAGCCCTATGCTGCGGTCAGAGCTGGAGCTGGAGGCTCTAGTCCATGGGGTGACAGCCTGAAGTGGAGGAAGACAGCGGAGGCCTGGGGATGGCTTGGTGGGAGGGTCATCTGGGTCTGAGTCGCGTGTGGGGAGGGTGAGTGCTGAGGGCAAGGCGTGTCCTGCCCTTGTGGGGGCCCCACAGGTGCTGACTGCACAGCAGCTGCCCAAGCTGAATGCCGAGAAGCCAAACTCCATCGTGGACCCCCTGGTGCGTGTCGAGATCCATGGGGTGCCCGCAGACTGTGCTCGAAAGGAGACCAACTACGTGCTCAACAACGGTGGGTGGGCCTGCTGGGGGAGGTGGAGGCGTACAGCCGAGAATGCTGGGAGGCGCAGGGCGCTGGCCAGCTGGCTCTGACTGCCCTGCCTGTGCCCTAGGCTTCAACCCCCGCTGGGGGCAGACCCTGCAGTTCCAGTTGCGGGTTCCGGAGCTAGTGCTGGTCCGGTTTGTGGTTGAAGATTATGACACCACCTCGCCCAATGACTTTGTGGGCCAGTTTACACTGCCTTTCGACAGCCTGAAGCAAGGTTGGTGGGGCGGGTGGGGATGGAAGGGACGGGGTCCAGGCCCCTGGGCACTGTTTGCCTGGCTTTGAGTTTCCGAGGAGAGCCTGCCCTGAGCCAAGCTGGGCCCAGCACCCCGGGATGGCTGGTCCTGCAGGGCGATGGGCAGCAAACCCGAAGCCTGGCTACCCTCCCCACAGGGTACCGCCACATCCACCTGCTTTCGAAGGACGGAGCCTCTCTGTCACCAGCCACGCTCTTCGTTCATATCCACATCCAGCGCTCCTGAGGGTGACTGACCCACCCTGGGCTTCTGCGGGTACTGGTCTGCGTCGTACGGTGGCGGAGGCCCTCTCCTCTGGAGTGGAGGCGCTGTGTGAGCAGCAGCCCGTCCAGCCCGCTCGGTCTGCCAGCTCACCAGGCTTGTCGCAATGGGGTGCTGAGGACTGCCTCAGCCCCTCCTGAAGAACAGGTGGTTGATATTTTCCCTGCAACCCTGAGACCTTGAGCTGGCCCCAGCTCCCCAAGTCCATGGCCCACCCCTCTTCCTGGTTTATGAGGAGCCAGGCCTGCTGCTGCCAGGAGACTTGGGAAGCAGGACATGAGCCCTCAGCGCCTCTGTCCCCCACCCCCAGCCAAAAGGGCTCCAGCCACACCCCTTGCTTCCCCCACCCAGGCACTGGCCACCCCCTAAGGCTCTCCTGCCCCCCAGGTTTTCCTGGGCTCCTCTCTCAGACTCTTGAACCTGAGTTCTCTTCCCTTGTTAAAGCAAGAAGGGAGAGCTGAGGCTGGGAACCCTGGGGACACCTAGAAGTAGGTTTTTATCTCGTGTCAGAGAAGATCCCTGGAGAGGACAGAACAAGACTATTTTAAAAAATAAAAAAGCACTACTTTACTACTACTGCCACCCCTGACCACCTCTGATGATATACCCAGGCCCATGAGGAAGGATGGGGCAGAGGGCGAGTCCCCTGGGCCTCTTCCCCCGGCAGGGTCTGAATTTGTCTGAGGAAGCCAGGGGTGCTGGAGGGGAGGCCACAGCTCCAAATAGCCAGGACTCCTGCTCTTAGCTTAAAGCTGTTGCCAACATCACAAGACTGAGGTTGCCAATCACAAGCTGCCCCCACAACCCTACTAGGGGCCTTGAATGGTGAGCTTCTGCCAGGAAAGAACTGTTAGGCCCTAAAGGGGGTGGGGACAGGACTCTGAGGGGCCTCAGACAGACCCCCACTTTCCAGGCTCAGCAGGGTTCAATGCCTGTCTAGTCAGTAGACAGACCCCAGAGACCTGAGGCTCGCCTTCTACCAGCCAACCAACCTTTTGACAAAGGCCTGGAAGGCAGCGGCTGCCCATGCTGCCTCTAGAGATGCTGGGAAAGCATGCTGAGGCCTGACAGGATCCAGAGAAAACATGTCAGAAAGGTGACTTTCTGGGATTAAATGTGGCGCCCTGGCATTTTGGGTTCCATGAGGCAACAGCACCGACACTGAGCAAGGGCAGAGTTTAACGGCAGGTTGTGTCCTCTCAGGCTGCAGCTCAGGGCCAAGGCACCAGCCGTGGGGGACCTGAAAGAAACACGGGGTCAGTAAACAGATGAAAAGTTCCAGAGGAAGAGAACGGAAAATGGGAGGCCTAAAGGCGGTGACTCGGGCCCTTCCCCAGAGAGCTGGCTCAGTAGGTGTGTGGTGGGGCCTGGCGCTGAAAGCACTGCTGCCTCTACAGAACCACCCAGCAGCTCCTGGCCCAGAAGGGGAGATGGTGGCATCTGGATGAGTGACAAGGAGGAACCACTGCTAATCCAGACCACAGGCGGCTCTGCTCCCAGCCGTGGAAGCCCCGCCGTCCTCCTAGAGTGAAGCTGAGTTAGTACTTGCTCCTCGCTGGTGGGTGGGAGAGGTTTGGGGGAAAGAGCCAAGTTTGCCCTGAAAGGGTAACATTGCCCAAGGAGTCTTCAAAAGTCGCTCTGGTGCTGTGGTCACGAGGGCCTTTCCTGCAGGGCGCTCTAGCCCAGGTTGGAGATGCCACCTGTTCCACTGCTACCTGCAGTCCAGAGGAAAACCAGGAGGGCGGAAGGGTTTTATTCAGCGGCTTCCTTTATTAGAAACAAGTGAGATGTATGGAGCTGAACGACAATGCATTTGGTATTTCTTACCACACCCTGGAAATGGATGCCCCTCCCAAAGCCTGGAGAAAAGCCAAGACGAAAAGGTGAAGCCTCCCCCTTCCCTGTTCCCAGGTGCGGCACCTTGCCTACAGTCAATGTTTCTGAATTGAATTGAATGTAATTGTCCCACACGGCCTCCCTAGAGAGTCTGTTTGTAGACCTGCCTTCACTTTGTAGTAGGGAAAAATCGAAGGCTTGGGGCTCCTCCGGTTCTGGGGCAGGTGGGCCAGGCCACAAGAAGGCTGCTCCCTGGGCAGCTAGGTGCCGACCAGGGATACACTCCCGCCCCACTCCCCTGGCCTGAAAGCCCCTCACCCTCCTAGACTGCAGTTCCGTGAAGCTCTCCAGGCCTTCGGGCCATCCTTTGGGTTGGTTAAATGCTGGTCATCTTTGGGCAAACAATTAAAGACCAGAGGGGCACCCACCCTTGGGATTCATTGAGCCAGCAAGTGAAGGTGGCGATGGCCGTTAGAAGGGAGGTGCAGACAAGGCCTGAAATTTTCCATAAATCTAGGTGTTGAAGTGGGTTGGTGTGGGCCGGCCTTCAACCCACACGTCGGCATCTTTGGAAGTAGGCATTTGTGAGGATAACAAGCCCGAGAGAGACGTCAGCACAGAGCTGAGGCCTTCTTTCTACCCAGCTTTCTCCCTACAAAGAGACCGGAGGCTGTGGGAATTTCCCACAAGGCCAGGGGTCAAATGCAGTCAATCCAAAGGCAGGAGGTAAACATCTAGAAACATGGGAGTCCAAAAAAGCCCAGTGCCAGCGAGGAGTACTGGTGGCAGAGTGAGGGCCACGCCCAGGAGGCTCTCCAACAGCAGCTGCCTGAGGGAGGCAGGTCCCAGGTGATGAAGCCTTGGGTCCTTCCCTTGTTTGGTTCAAGCCAGCCACGGCTCCACCATCCTGCAAGGCTCCCTGTGGGGAGGCCCTGAACCCCAAGCAATGCTTCTCTCTGAGCTCTGATCTTGAAGTCCTGGAAGGGGTTGAGTGAAGAAGCCAGGGAGTGTTTGGACAAAAAGGAGACTAAAAGCAGCCACCGAGCAGACTCCCGGGACATGGGTGGTGATGCTGAGGGCGGGGCGAGGTCCCCACCATGGACAACAGCAGAGTCCCAGGAGCAGGCCAAATGGTTTTGGAGGGAGAAACTCGGGCCTTTCCAAGAGATGTTTCTTCCAGAGCGGCCATGGGCCTCACAGTTTCCAGTCCATGACCTGGGTCAACCAAGGCAAAGCTCACTCCAGGGGCTGTTGTACACCCCAAATTTCAGAGGCAGTTTGGGCTGGGACTTGGCCCAGAGCTGACCAAGCCTCCGATGGAGCATTTCCAAGTTCCAGGTCCTGCCCAAGGTAGGAAAGAGCCGGGCACTTCGTTGCCTGCTATCCCTAGAAGCCTGCACAGGGTGAGCGGCTCTGGGCGTTGTGTGTCTGATGTCTAGAGGCTGTAAGGCAAGCCCTGCGCCTCTCCGACTCCTCCTGTCTGGGAATGCAGTGCACATCTTGCTAAGAATAGCAGCTTCTTTGGTCTGGGTATCTTGGAGTCAAGGAGTCAAAGGTCAGCCACGAACGCTGGGGCCTGCAGTTTGCAGCACAGGGACAATAGGAGAAGGGAGCCCCTAGAGGCCTCTGATGAAAATCCAATCCAGTCTGTAAAGAGCGGGCAACATTCCAGGTGACACAGCCCCCATCCCAAGCACACAATTTCCCTCAGCTTCCGGGACTCTGCAGAATTAGTCTCTGGCAAACCTCACCAAAACCCACAGCCTGAAACTCAGCTCTGTTGGCCTGTAGAGCGTGGCTTCAGTTAGCAGGACCAGGCTAAGCCACCTGGCTTAGACATCCTTCCCCCTACAAGCAGCCGAGGTGAAAGCAGCCAGGAAACGCCCCACACATCATGCTATCCACCCATTTACTTTTTTCAAGGGCAAAAGGTACATATAAGCCTGGATGTGGGTTGTTCACAGTTCCACAGCCCAATCCTCCCCAAGCCAGTTGGCTGAGCACAAATGAGGAATGCCTACACCCATAGCCATGTGACTGGAGGCTCCATTACTTCTGGGGAAACTGGCAGCATCAGTAAGTCACCACCATCACAAAAATCCACCACACATCACCAGTGAAAATCAGACTCAGGCAATGGCAACATGAAATCATTTCTGTTGCCAAGTCCAGATTGGCGCCTAACCACCATTCCTTGCAGGCCGTGTGTCTTGGAAAGGAGCACAAGAGACAGCCAATGGGTTGGAAGGCACAGGCCAGGGGCAGGTGGCTGAAGGGGTCTGGGGATCGGCCCCACGCCATCCTTGCCCAGCGACCCTGGTGGCACCAGGGTGCTGGCTCTTTGCTCTAAGATGAGCCAAGCAGGGTTTGCACTGACATGGTCTCCACAAGATCCCAGGTGCTACAAGGAGGTGACTTCCAACTGCCAGTCACCCCGGGGAATGGAAAAACAGTCTCACAGGGGACTTGTGCCTCTAAGGTTGACAACAGCTGGCTAAAGAATTGGCAGGATGACTTCCTGCCAGGAGCAGGCCAAGAGGCTGGAAGAAGGGATTCAATTAATGAAATCTGCTTCCACAGACCATCAGTGCTACCCAGTTTCAGAACGCAGAAAAGGCCCAGAGAGTGCAAGAAAGCCTCTGAGCAGAGACAACCCCATCTAGGACTCCCGCCTGCCATCTGTGAGATCTGAGCCCACCCCAAAGCTGGGCACAGTCCCTCCACCTTACCCTGCCCTCTCGAAGCCAATCATTCCAGCTGAATCAGAAGGGGAATGAGAGAAGATTCCCCATGCATCCCCTTTCTCCTGCTCCCCCCAAAACAGTCAGTGCCTGCTTTCAGAAGGAAACAATTCACTGTACCAATATGTGTCTGTCTGACACTGTCCTTCACTCTAATTTTGAGAAATGATCTGGATTCAGCTTTTCATTAGAGACCAAACACCCTTGTACATTTGGAACATGAAAGATATTTAAAATATTTATATATATATAATATATATATATACTTTTATTATTCACCCGTTAACTCCATAATATGCCAATCACGAGCTAGTTTTCAGCAGTTACATTCCCTTGATCATGGCTGCATAAGGATGTGAATAATTGGAAAACAGGGAGACCAGAGACACGGCCAGAGGTGACATCACACAGCCTACGCCATTGCAATACAATTGTCAAGTTCAGTGGCGGTTTGGTATAGCCGGTTCGCTTCTGTTCCCTCTGCCAGGGATTCTCACGTTTGTGGTAACTGGACCAACAAGTGGTGGGGTTCCATTTCCTGGTTTGAATTCTCAGTGGCTTTCCAGAATCTCACTGGCAAATGGTTACTGTAACACCAGCCCAACCTAGGAGAGCCAATGGGGAGAGCCAGAATTGAGTCGGCAGTTGTCTGAAACCTCGCCCACTTCCCCACCCAGACCTGAAGTGCCAAATGGCTGAGCCTCTAGAATGCCACTGGGCTGTGCAAACAGAGTCACAGTCGCTGGGGCTCGCCCTCAACTTCTGTGCAGGGCTTTATACATTGACCAGATCCTCCAAGCAATGCGACTGCCAACATCTTAAGGAACACTGGTCACCAGGCCACCCTCCAACAGTCAGTTTTGTAACTGCTGATCACACCCATGGCCCTGGGCTGCTCTGTGGAGCTGGCAGAGGAAGGGCTGAGGAAGGGTCATGCTAGGATGAGGGTAGCAGCCCAGCAGAGGAAAAAAATCCTCAATACTCAGACTCTAAATTTCGTGGTTAACCGTCGGCAACTCGACTTGCATGGGTCCCTGAGATAGTCCCAAATGCCCTGGTCCTGGCCAGCTGAGGTGAGTCACCTGGTGGGATGAGAAGCTGGAGACAACGTTCCTGCTTGTGTGTGGCTCTGGAGCCCGCCCCCTCTGCCACCCTCATGCCAGCTGCTAAAAAAGGAAAATTGATCCTGCCAGTCTGGCCATCGGAGGGAGAGGACTCTGCAGGGGCCTAAACACCAGTTAATAAGGGCCCAGACTGATGTTGGATCCCTGACCCTGCCTCTGCTACGCCAACTCCCTGACCTGGGTGGGCCTAGCTGGGCACCTACCTTCTCTGCCCCCATGCTAGGGCACTTCCAATTGTAAAGATAATACTGCAGGTTGCCGTCCCCAATACCAAACTTGAGCTTCTCAAGGAAGGCTTTGTTCTCCATGAGATCCAGTGCATTGAACACGTCAAACCCTTTCTGCACGGCGGCAGGGAGAAACAAAAACAGAGGAGAGAGGTAAAAGCTGCCTCACCTTCCTGCCCTTTTCTATCATATCAGAACCACCCACAGGTGGCCATGACAGCAATCTTCCTTCAGAAGTTCTGGCTGCTTCCAAGTGAAACCCAAACTCCAGCCAGCGCCCCGCTCTCTAGAGACGGTTCTCAAGAGAGACGGTGCCACCCTACCTGGCCTTTCCTCAGTGTCCCTCCAAGCACACTCGTATACTCAGTGTCCAGGCCACTGCCCTCCTTGTTCCTTTTCTACTTCCCAGAAACGCTCTAGTGACTTCCACAGTCCTCTCTGGAAACCAAGCCCTGACCCCCTTCCTCTGAGAAGTTGGCTCCTGTCAGCACTTGTATTACTCCCTCACTCCTGGACACCCCAACTCTTAGGCCTTCAGTGTGCACCCTGTGATTTCATGGCACCTGATATGGAGCTTTGAGGCTGTGGCGGAAGACACTTCCTACATCTCACCACTTCCACAGAAGCTATCATAGGGCGGGGACTGGATTGTTCACGGTCCAGATGGCCCACAGGGGGCTGGGCTCACCACAGGCAGAGCCCACGATGAAGGACTGACTAGGATGAGAAGCCTGGGCCCCTCCCCCCGTACAATCAGCTGTTCCAATGACTCACCACGACAGAAACCAATCTCCCCATTCCCATGTTGGGGAAATCGTAAGAACCCCTCTCCTCCCCGAGCAGGCCTGGCTAATTCAGGCTCCTTGGCAGAGCCTCCTGTGAGAATGAAACTCACTGAAATAAATCAGGAGGAGTTCAATGCCTTCCCTTCGTGGGGATGCTCCTTGCTCCCTCCTAGTTTCGAGTGGCTAGCTAAAAACTGTGGGTCTCCTCCCTAGGCAGAGCAGGCAGGTTTGCAGCCCCCCAGGCCCATGAGCAGCGATCT